TCCATATCCATCTCAGCTGAGAGTGGGAGGCGCTTGAATCGCCAGACGGTAGATCATGGGTAAGGCACATACGATAAGGGTAGAACGGAGTATACGTATATGGAAGCAGAAGGGCGGGTGTTATCGCGCATGCGCAAACTGCCGACCTCAACGCATCGTGTAATGGCTAATTCGTCCTGATATTGACGCTGTGCATTGATTGCAACGCATTGAATTTTTTTTCTTTTCTTTGTGCGTATAGTTTCCCATCATGTACCTAGATCTAAAGTCTTTTTTTCGAGTTTACCGGGTCCCTACGTATATACGTAAGCATTAAATAGTTTTAAGCACTGGCAGTATCTCCAGGGTGGAATACAATCTCGTCCCAAAGGGGAAATCCAAGCAGAAAACGATGTTATGCAACTCCAAGGCTTACTCTTGGATGTTTCTTCACCATGGGCAACGGAGGCACTGGGATGGTCACAAGGCGTTTTTGCATCATCTCTAGTGTGGTTGGTGCACGGTGTATGTACTTCAGGTCTCTGAAAAATCTATTGTGCAACAGTTAATGCATAACACCTAAGTGGCTATTTAGTGCGTATAAAAAAGGTGGTTAATGTATATGTCCATGCATAGTCACATGGAAAAGTTGGTAAGAGAAGAAACGTGCAAAGTAATATAAATATAGGGGATGTTTGAGAAGTCGAGGAATGTGACCAGTAAGAACGTTAAGGTGTCTATAGATCGAATTGTCCGAGAACTCATGCAGGCCGATGGCATCTACGCCAAAAAATCTACACATGTTTGCCGACTACTAACATGAATGGGAGGGGTGGATTCCTTTCTACATATAGCATTATTTTGGTTTTCCAGAAAGTCTCGAATGACTGATCAATCAAAAACCCTACCCAATCAGCAAGCAGAACAGGGATATATACGTAGCCAGGCACTTTGTGTCGCGTTCTCCCAGCGAATCCCATCTCTGAAGCGACCCAAGACAGCTACCCTCCATCAGCTGGGCCAGGGAAACTCCCTTTCACGGAGTAAAGGGATCCATATCGGCTCGTGGATAGGCAAGAAATCCGGTGGGTCGGTTCCTCTTCTTCTGCCTACTCATGTCAGAGGGAGTAGTAGAGAAGTCGAGATCGGATGAACACAGAACTTGAATGATAATCCTTTGTCTCCTTGCCCTTCCTGTACTCCACGCAGAGATCCTGAATGATCCACGGGGGATAATCGCTCCAGGCCTTCGCATTTCCCACAACTCATCAGGAGAGTTCGATGGTGTCGGCTTGTTCCCCCGTCAAGAGGAGCCGGCGGGCTTGTTTCAAAGCTCTGAGCGCATAAAGAGTTAAAAAAAAGAGAGGTGGAAGCGCCCATCACACTCTTCGAGGTTGTGATGCGGGTATACCATGGCGTCCATACAAAGATGAGTACGGAGGCTGATGAACCCTCGTTGGCCACTCGGCCCGGCGTCAGTGATGAAGAGACGGCGTGACCACGGACTGTGCCGCCCTGTCTCTCCTTCCACCAACAGCCAAGCTGGATATTGTAGAATGACAATTAAGGAGAGATGGACGAGAGAAAAGGAGGTCCCTTTCCCGAGTAGAAAATGCGGGTAAGCTGAAGGGTGAATGCGTCGGGTTAATTTGCCACTGGTGATGTTTCCCGTATACGCAGGACGCAGGAGAAAAAGCTGCGTCCATTCTGCATCGAGACGAAAGAAGAAAAGAAAGGAAGAAAGCGCACATCTCACACCCGGGCCATCTGGAGACAACGCTGCCCTGCTTCCTCCGAGCTGCTGACAGAGCGGAATGAGGTGTTCTCCCAAAAAGTTGCCATCTGGCTAACCTCCTGAGTAGCCCATCTTTTAGCCATCGATGATGCAACGATGCAAAAGAGAAGAGAAAAAAAAAGAGCCAAAAGTCACCGTAATAAAAATATGCACAAGTCGTTTAGGTGCGTATCTTACTAAGGTAACGGCGATACCGTGACGGGCTTGCCGGTACCGAACCGAACCGAACCATACCATGGATACGCCGATGTCTCGTGACCAGGGCCTACCTTGGGCTTGCAAGACACTTTAAACTGCTGGGCGCGTAACGAGAACATGGGGTCCCCGTTACCAATACTGTCAGTACCATACGGATATATGACAGTACCGTCCTAGCTTTACAGCCTTTTTTTCCTTTCGGTTTACGGCGCCACAAGAAACTCCCAACTTGTCGACCTTTTTTTGCATGCGGCCTTTCTGCGACCGGGAACGAGGGAGAGAGAGACGGACAGAGAGAGAGAACAAACGAAGAAGTGGGAAGAGACAAGTGGAGAGGGGGAAAATGGTGGGCAAAGTGACAGGCAAGAGGAATGGCGCTGGTATAACCTAAACGTACATATGCAGGAGGAAGCTTTTGCAACTCAGCTCGTATATGAACATTTCCATAACTCCCAAGGTTTTTTTTTCTCTCTCTCTTACCCATATCAAAAGGCCTGGCCTTGCTTTTCGTCTTTTTGCCTTCTAATATACATATTACTCTTTGCCCACCTTAAAAAGTCCAGCCTTTTTTTTCCTTTGCTCTGCCACACAAAAAGAGGTGCCAACGTCCCTTTTTCCCCTCGCAACGTCGACCTCTTCATCCTTCTCTCTTCTTCTTATAATTATAATTAAATTTATCTTGCCTACTATTTTATTTTACTTCTTTTTTACTTTTTCTTCTTTTTCGCCTCTTTTATTCACCCCCTCTTTGCTATTACCATCATATATATATATAAAACCTAGATCCAGTTACGGAGTATATGTGAAAAAGAAGTGGAAGAGAAAACAACGATTTAATGCGATCCAGATAGCCCAAGATGCCGCCGACCAGTCTTCTACCAGCCTCTGCTGCCGCCTTTGCTCCCAGAGCGTCTCCTACAGTGGTTCTGTCAAGGGTGGAACAGTGGTTGACCGTGACACTCAAGAGAGTGAACAAAGTAAAGAGACCACTGAACAATGTTGGGCAGCACACCCGATGCCTCACAGAGATCCTATCTCACCAGAAAGCCATCTGGAATCTATGTTCGATCATGCTACCCAAAGCTCCCGAGTCCAAGCTACCCAAGGATGAGAACCCACTCGTGGATGCCCTCTTCAACTACCAACTCACCCACATGGAAGCCTATGTTGTGCATGTCGACATGGTATCTCAGAACGAAGTCGCCTTCAAGTTGACTCCAGAGACCATTGAGACACTAATCGACCATCACAAGGAAATCTATTCTGTCGACACCGCAAGCAAGACATGGGATTGGCCCGAAAAGGAGATCCAGCTCAAGAAGCTTCAAGAGGAATTTGTCCAGGCTGCCAACCGGTTCGTATACCGGACAAGTGCCTCTGCTCTGGAAGGCATGGAGGAAGACGGCGCAGGAGAACTGCTCTGCGGACTGGCTGACGAAGCCAAGGCCGCCATCATGGGCTTGTTTGTTCCTCTTCTTCCTCCTCCGCCACGGATCGTCGATGTGGTGCGTTCTACGCCATTAGTCCCTTCTTCGACTGGCCCTGATGAATGGTGGCATCATAGCCCGACCCAGCAATCCCCTTCCCCGGTTGAGTCTTGGGATGTACTACCTTCGAGCCCAAGCACGACGACGAGTGACTCGCATCCGAACATGTGGACCAACATCGCATACAGTGATATGCCACTGCCCTCGCCCACCCTGTCACACTGCCAGCCCTTCTCGACAGCGACTTATAGCACGTCCGAGTTTTACGAGTGCCCCACTACACTAGCCTCTGCTGTCCCTTACCTCCTACCCGATATGCTAGTGCAGCATCAGTGTGGTGCAGCTGCCGGTATGGACGGCTTTGTATGGGCTGATAGATACCCTGACTTCGCCCTACAGTATGGAACAGCCATGTAAACCAAGAGCGGAACGGCTACGATTTAAGAAAGAAGACGCCTTATCTTACATAACTCTACAAGACGGCATCGACGGCAACGACCTATATACATCACATAGGCATAAGCATCAACCGCATGACTGACGGCGTTCTCCATCCTCATTTAAGCGGCTGTGGTATTCATCTGGCATATATTCCCATTTCCTTCGTCCCTGGTTTCATTATATGATGCGTTCTTTAGCAAGCGTTTGTTTTTGTTTTTTTCGTTTATTTCATGTTTGTGTTTGCTATTCGGTTTTTTTTTTTTTTTTTGGCTTTTGCATGAAGAACCGGCGGGTCGGCTACCTCATTTTTCATGACATCCCAGGGAGGATTGTTTTTTTCGTTTGTTCATGTCTCGCATACGATATCATCAAGACTGATATGCCTCGCGGCTGGAAATTTTCATTTATTACCCCCTTTTGTCGTGGATGCGGATCAGGCGGTCTCTTGAACCAGTGTACCTGAGCGTTATACAGGCAGTATTGGCGGCTAGCCCGACCACGAAGCCCGCGCCAGCGTATCACACCTCAATTGACCACCTCTTCCGTATCGTTGTCTGGAACTCATTTCGGTACAGGCTACTGAACAGGCGATCCATTCGGTTGGATTGGTGAGGATGAAGACACACGACGCCCCTGACGTGGAATATTTTTCTCATCTGGTATGGGATTTATATCCGCGTCATTTTTTTTCGGCCCCCTTCTGGATGAGTTGAGTTGCGTGCTTCTGGGGGAGAAACTGGCATAACCCACCACGGCTGGGCCCTCGTCTGCCTCACTCGTGGCCACGAGCGCACGTCGGGAGCACTGAGCGTCCGCTGCGAACGATCTGTGATTGTTTCCCACCGTCGACCCTTTGCTCCCACACCAGCAGCGTGTGTTGCTTCCCACGCTCTCTCTCCACCAGCACCGCTTACTCGACCCGTCCGGAACGCGGGCCATACCCACTAGGCTCATCCCCTTTGCTCCAGGCTGGTTCTTCACTTCTTGTTCGTTTCGGTCATGTCTCTTCCTGGAGCGGCCTGCGCTTTCCACCTTCTTTTCCATTGACTGGAGTAAGGGGTGGAAGCCAGGAATCGGATGCTGGTTTTGTCTTTTCGTTCTCCTCTTTTACTGTGTATCGGAGCTGTGCTTCGTATGCCACTTGCGTCTGTTTCTCATTCGCTTGTCGTCAATTTGTTACTATAGTTTAAAAAATACGCAAAAAAATCAAATTCACTTTTGGATCGTCCAAACTCTGGTGTTGGGATTTACATTGACTCAGCTAATATTCGAAGTTGATCTCTTAGTCAGGAAGGTATCCTTTGCCGACCAACTTGTGTATCGAAATGACTCTTCACAACATTGCCTCTCTTGGAATGGTAAGCCTTGACAAAAGAGCTATCATATCGTCCTAAGCTAACTTCACTTATGTCTCTGCATTGCCCCTAGCGAAGTGGTTCCGCGTGCTCGATATATCCTGAAAGGGAACGAGCGCAATTTCATCATAACACAGTACAGACATCTAACATCGTCGTAAAATCATAATGTCCATAGTCAGATAAGCGAATAAGCCGTTGTAAACGTCTCCGCTCCACCTTTTCACATGCATTTATGGGCCGCAATTGGCATCATATCAATTTGATTTCCTCGAGCTGCATGGCTATATCTATCACCAGTGTCGCCCGTCGAAACGTATCATATTTCACGTGAGGAGAGTGTAGGCATGGCCACAGTTGATCATTCACTTGTCTACATCAACCCTCCATATTAGCTTCTCCATACTCTCATATCCCAACTTAACCATCAAAAGCAAATAAATCAACTTACATCTGGCGGATTCCCTGCTCCTCGGACTATTTTTTCAACCATCATAGCTCTGACCTTTTCCTTTGGTTCGCCCATACCGATCGCCATGTATTGGAGCAATGGTGGATGTCCGATGTACGAAGCATAGCTGTCGCGGATAATGTTGGATGTCCATTCGTACTTGGTTGTATCGGCATGTCCTGTACCGATATAGCGGGCCTGGAGTGCCTCGAGGTTTTGGAGGGTGCGCAGTTTATCGGCCATGATTAGACAGAGCTCATCGAACCGTGTATTGAGGCAGTTTCGCCGGCACGAGGTTGGGTTGATGAAAATATCAGAGATCGATTTATGCTTTGGCTCAATTGTGGTCACGTGGATAGCTTAAAGTTTGCCTGGCCTATGTATAATGTTGACTCTAAAAATAACATCGGATAGCATGTATCTTGAAAAGACGGCATATATCATAAGTGATACATAATCTATTCGTCAATTCTCAATGGGAAATTCCAGCGTCCACTCCATCTGCATTTCAACACTGTCCCGGTATATGTCCAGTTTGAAATATAGTCTATGGTTCTCCTATCACTAACATTTCGCCGTCTCAGTAGTACCGGTTTCTTTTGCTTGTCTGTAGATAAAACGAACAATGGAGCCCATGGCTGAGGCGATAAGGCGGATTCGATAGTAGGTGCATATTTCCATGCTTCGAATATTGGTGGTACGACCTTATATCGCCAGGCCCGGAATACCTCATCGACTGACGCTTGTTGGCCCTTTATAAATATTTCTCGGTGCCGTTTACTCACGTCATCAAACAAACGCGAGTCTCCATAGGCATTCCAATTGTCTCCATTCTGGTTCTTGACTTTCAAACCGAGGAACCCGTCTTCGTCATGCATCAGCTGGAAGTATTTAGTGTGCGTTCTATCATAAATGGAACGGATCTATTTATCTGCCTACCTTCGAACAAGCGTCCCCTGAATTCAACATACTGCCATGAAGCAAGCGGCGAGGGACACGTAGATGCCCGGCAGAAAAGTGGTCGTGCAGGAAGTGGTCTGCAAACGCATTCATAGCATACGCCACGGCCAAGTCACTATCTGCACTCAAGGCATATTGAATAGCAGCATTGTGGCCAGTGTTATATGCGATCTCTGCATCTCTACCAAAATGGTCAAAGTTAATCAGGGCAAGACCTAGGAAGGATGGTATTCCACTTGGTCGGAATAGGGTTGCCATTCCGAGACTTTTTCCAATAGAGAATTTGAGTCGATTGTGGACTTCTGAGGGCTGCTTGCCATCCCGTATGGCCTTGTTAATTTCTTCCAGTTCATCATGGAGAATTCCAAGAAGCTTGGTGGCCTCCTCTGGGGCATATTTGGTGTCATTCGCCAAGGTATCAAAAGCTTTAAGGAAGCGGTGTCGCCGCTCATTCTCTGTAACTCCATCACTTATGGGTTGATCCGTCCCATATAGATCGCCAGCTAAACCAAGAATTTCACCATATGTCAAAGATAGACCGTTGGGAAGCTTAAGCGGAAGCTTTCCCGCGGGTACTTCAGTATCAACTCCGACCTTTAGGTTGACAGCGTTGCCCTGCAGGCAATGCTCCACGAAGACGAATTCTAAGATTATGGTTTAGTTTTCAAGAGCAAGATATTGGGCGTGTTGGGTCGCTGTACTTGTAGATACTTTCTCTCCATCTTTGTATCTAAGCCCCGCATTATACGATGACTTCTTCCTCCGTTTTAGGGCGGCCCACAAGTCCAAACACATCTGTGTTAGTATGATATGCGAGGAGTTTGTTCGTTGGTTGGAAGTGAAACGGCTGAACTGCGAGTCCCTAGCAAGTTATCGTTGTGGTAACACGCCGTCAACTGGCCCCCTGCTGAAAGGGCAGCGGAAGGAGAAGAACCAGGTGCCTGGTCCTAGGGGAAGGCAACGAAACTCGAAGGTCGCGTCCTATGAAACTACAAAGGAGTATAACCAAAACTTGTATGCATCTTCCTAGCAGCTTAACTGGGGTGTCTTAATGTATATTTATATTCCCTCCGTCCAGGCCGGCGTCGGTTCTCTTGTAACACTCCCGTGATGGTTTTCAAACATGACCAGCTGATCAACCCTTGGGGTCGCTAGCGAAGTCGCCGCTGCAAGAGCCGCTCACATTCTAGACAAGGCCACCTCCCTCCACTAGAGCTTGTCGGAATCCACACGCCGTCGTCTTAAAGGATGCTGGCAAGCTTCAGCTTGTAGGGGAGGCTTGAAGCTAGGATCCTCCAGATACCTCGCCATGGTTTTTCTTCGCCTATCATATATCGGAGAACAGAAATGATACCACTCGCAGATCAAGGACGTGTCTAAATGACCTCAATCCAATAACAACCTCATCATCAGCAATCTTCTGCATGTTAATCAATAAAACATCGACCAAAGGGCTCTTGTTGAGTCACGTGATAACCAGGGATCCATGGATCTTCCCGAGGTGGTTCTTGCTATAAAATCACTTCGAATGATGAGGAATGAGTCCGAAGAGCAGCATATAGCGAGAGGGCATCGAAGAAGTGCATTACCCATCTATAAGTATTCCACCTACGTGCAACTAACTTTTCTCTTATGAGTTATATTTCATGAGCCCAACTTCGTCTCTTGAATGCCGTGTCGCAACACTGGTCCACGCTCATTTTGAAGCACTCCCACAGCGAAGCAAGCCAAACGTTCATAATAAAGGGTTGAGAGAATGGATTCCGCTGAGTGGGATTGTCTTGGTAACTAGTAAGTGTCAACTCTTCCCTTGCATTCTCTCATATAGCACTATATTATGTCTCATAGGCTTGGTGTACTAGATATACTAACTTATTATCTAGATGAAAATACGGCCGAGGAAGCTTTAACTTGCGTTTCTGTTGCGTGAGTACATAAGCTCTTGGTTCCCCCAGACTGGAAGGAGCTGGCTTTATATCTCATTTTATACAGCATCACTGACCGGGAGGTATAGGACTGGTGCGAAATGTCTAAGCACGTCACAAATTGCACAATGTAACGGGCTTGTACTGCATGATAGCCATGCTGAAATACTCGCCCTTCGTGCATTTAATCACTGGCTTCTCGAAGAATGCAAGTCTGCTCTAACTCACTACAAGGAGAAGCACATCAATTGTTCATGCATTGGCTCACCTTATGATGGAACCCTCAATTATAAGGGTCCATCTACCTGTTCTGGGTCAAGATTCTTGCAATGGAATCCGGAAAGCGTCGAAAGGATAGAAAATTCTCGAGATTCCAAAGATGGAAACCTACAGACATCAATGCCCTGGCCTCCTTTTCGGATAAAAGAAGATGTAAATATATGGATGTACTGCTCATGTGCGCCTTGTGGAGATGCCAGCATGGAGTTATGCATGGCGGCACAGGAGGACGCTACGCCATGGGATCTACCTGTTCCCGAATCTGGAGATTCAGAAACCTCGACTGAACCCCCGCATGCGTTGCTAAATGGCAGGGCTCACTTTTCAATCCTTGGTGTAGTTCGCCGAAAGCCTTCCCGGGCAGATGCAGAATCAACTCTGAGCAAGTCATGCTCGGATAAGCTTGCCTTGAAACAGGTGACATCAATTTTATCCTTCCCTACAAGCCTGCTTGTCGCACCAACTTCCAATGCGTATATATCCAATATCATTCTGCCGGAGGATGAATTGAATCGCGTGGGATGCAATAGGTCTTTTGGTAATGGGGAAACAGGTCGTATGCGGGCCCTAAATAGCTGTGTATGGGAGACTAAGTCTACAGCTGATGAAATCTTTACATTTCGCCCATTTAGGGTCAATTCATTACCAATGGAAGTTTTCAAGACAATATGGAAGTACGGGAAACCCACAGCTAAATTGCCGGAAGAGAAGGTGAAAACTGGGAATGTATCAGCGGTCTGGACGGCATCTCCGTCGTTTTCATTACGACCACCTTTCACGGCAAAGGGAAACGATGTCCCTCGTTTCCCCGAGCCAGAATGGCACAAAGCATACATTAAAACGGCACCGACAAACCTCAATGAAACTTTGATAAATGGTGTTAAACAAGGCTATCGTTTGAACTCGCCTGGGTTTAAAAAGGCCAGTGCATTATCTCGAGCTAGAATGTGGGCTCTTCTGCGCGATGTCTTCTATATCTTGGATGGGTGTGGTGTCATGCCAGATCGGGGCGAGAATGCCTGTATCTCGAATTTGACTCAAATTGTCCTCTCGGCTCCGTCTTACGATTCCTTGAAATACATGGCTGCTAGGACGGGAAACTTGCATGCTCGAGCCCAGGTGTTGACGGATGCGAGGCTTGTCCTCAAGAACTGGATTCAGAACCATGGTGATGGGGCTTGGGGTTTGAGTGTATTTGATATTCCGATGAAAGAAAAGGTTGCCAGGCCAGAAACCACCAGAGTGGGTTAGATGCTTAAAATACTAGGATCATGACTTCTTTCAAATTAAATGGTACTATATCTAAATTAGAATATATAAATGGTTGCTCTCGCAACGTCAATAGTGAAAACAGAAATGTGCGAATTTCAGTAAGTGTAATTATACCCCCATGCCCCCTAGGAAAATTACGCATTGGTATGTTTAGTATATGCCTGGAATGATTCTGCTCTTGACCTTTGAGGTATATTTGGCCCAGTCTTCGCCATATTTCCTCTTACACTTCTCTTCGTCACGTCTCTCACGATGAACAAGTAGAATTCCAAAGTAAACGACATAGAAGTATGTTATGGCCATTCCCCATCCGCGCGTCTCTTCCGTCTGGACTGCACGCTTTTCCATCATGCCAGTGGCGGGGTTCAAAGATTCTATCATGGCAAATCCAGCCATACCTGTTGGGAGACAGTAGGTCCATGCCATAATCCAATCTCCGAGGTAGTTGACGTGGCGAGCCATTCCCCACCATCCAGAGGTCATGAGTCTCGATCCACTACGAGTCTCAATGTATTGGATATGCCTGATGCGTGGATCCTCGGGGTTTGTCCTAAATCTATTCTTCTGGTTATTGGCACCACGGAATATGGAGTATCCGACACCCTGAGCACCTAGGATTAATGCGACATTGACGGGGCTGAGTTGAAGAGGATACATGGCGAGGTATCTTGTTTGTAGGGAGTAGATAAATGGAACCCAGACCAAGTCTCCAAAAGACAGCATAAAGCCGAATCCATCGAGAATAATGTCGATGGTGGTGAGGATGGCTGGCTCCATGTAGAGTGCGTCGAACACATACCAAGCCTGGAAGGCGGTGATGAGGAGAATTGACGAAGTGACATTGCCTGAGTTCATTTTATACTGATGGGCAATGTTCGACAAGTTCATTATAACCCATCCAAGAAGCCCAGGGCGCATCTCGCAAAACGCCTTTATGTCCAAAGTCCTGGAATTTTCGCTGACGAATGGAATCGGCAGGACGATTCTTGGGTTGAGTTCACGTCCAATGAAATAATCGTATATAATATTCCCACTTTGCCCTCCAGGAGCTAATTCACGGTTGGTAGGGTTGGGTTGACCAGGAGAAGGGACTGTGAAGCTCCTCAGGTAAACAAAAATCGCCAATCCAACACAGATGATAAGGTTGGCAGTGACCACTTGGATATGGTTCTCCCAAAGAAAAGTCCATAGAGGGAAATCAGCGCCGTATAACCAGGTTCCTACGGCGCAACCTAGTAGCATCAAGAGGTGATCCCCGGCAGCTAATAAAGCGTTAAGGTTAGCCATGCCATGCACAGCGTAGAAGTTCATACGGAGACTGTACAATTGAATTTATACTTATGGCGACTTCCGCACGCTAGAACTACTCCTTCGGGTTCTCTTCCTGGGAGAATAACTTGTAGAACTAGACTGAGAAGATAATATCCAAGAACATAGAGTGTGGCCTCCGTGTTGTAAAAGCCCATAATTCCATCCTCTGGCCAACCAACTTCAGCTTTGACGAGTGGTCGAGAGAAAATTTTGACGGGCTTAGAAGCGATGGCGCAGGACATCCCGAGATATCGTTGCAAAGAAATGGGAAGATGTAAATAAGGACGGGTAAACCGAATACTAAAACTGTTGCACCAGGCCTGCAGCCAACCAAAAAGAAAGCAGTTAATATCCAAACTTATTCCAAATGGACGATAGTATTGAAGAACATACGGGCCACAGAATTCATATCCATGCTTCTCAGCTGGCTTCCGAACTGGCTTCTGAGCGGTATTTGAACCCTTTCCCTCCCCCATTACCAATGGCTTCTGCTGGTACAGGGAATATACAAGGAAAAAATATGAAGGTATAAATGATATAAAAGACAATAGATAGAGGGTTACAATCCCTTCAGTCCTTTCTGAAGCCGTAGCGAGGGGGCTTCTGAGGTATATTATATTCCTTGAATGAGTGTGATAATTATTCAAGGAGTTTTCAATCGTTGGGATTTTTAAAAAAAGGAGCTTCTGGGGAAATTGAAAAAAGTCTGCTTATATAATCAATCTTGATAACGGATAACTTCCAAGATCGGGCGGAGACGGCGATGGCAAAGCTTTGGCTTGTCACAAGAATTTCTTCATCTTTTTATCCTATTTGAATGTCGATATTATCCAACTGCTCACGCTCATTTGCACCACTATATGACCGCTGTTTCATTGCGCTTCCTACCTGCTCTCCGGTTTCGAAAGACCACATTTCCGCTGAAGCCAGTTGCCTAGAATCCTAGACCTGAAGACGAACAACTTCCCCTCGGCATTGACATATTCTGAGCTATTTATTTATAAACCTGTCATGCATGTCAATAAGCTCAATTCGCTTCTTCAAGTACTACTCTTTTCTTCCGCTGCTTGGGGTGCGGCAGAGGAGAAACCAAAGGCGCCAGAGAAGCCCTGTACAATACACTCGCCTAATACGGGCTTGTACTTCGACCTCAATGCGATTTCGGTGCAGCTGGGTAAAAAGGATGGGAAGAAGTCACATGCGGACCTGAGAGATGAAAGCTGGCATGTGAAGGGACATGACTATGGGGCAAATTTTACGATAAATATCTGCGCTCCTGTGGTAGAAAACTTGACGGATGTTGCTGGAGTCGACGAGAGTAGGTGGCAGAATGTCAGCGCGTACTACGAAATGGACAGAAAGACATATTCCATCGGGTATGTTTTTGGAATCTGGCTCGAAATACTTGGGCGTAAAGCACGTCGGAAGCAACAGTCACGCTGCTAACACTCATGACAGACAACAGTCATCCTCTCTCTTATTTCGTGGGCGCAAACTTGTATTGAATTACACCGATGGCTCCCCATGCCCTTCTCCATCTGCCGGGAATAAGCTGTTCAGACGCAAAATTCTAGACGGCGACGACGATGACGAATCTGATGACAAGGACAAAGAGAAAGATGGGGATAAACAGGGCGATGACGATAAAAAGGACAATGGCAAAAAGGACGGGGACAAAAAGGATGACCCAGAAGATAGGGTCGAGAGAAGGAAGTCGACAATAATGTCTTTCCTCTGCGACCGAGACCTGGTTACACCAGCTGCCACTTTCTCATTTGTTGGTAGCCTCGATTCGTGTTCCTATTTCTTTGAGGTTAGAACTGCAGCTGCCTGTGGAGGCGTTGCTTCAAGTACAGATGGAGGCGTAGGGCCCGCCGGGATATTCGGAATCATGTAAGTCATTCCGGGCGATGGTCTGAGCACACATAACTGACAACATGTTTTCTTCTTTAGTGCCGGCATAGCTATAGCTGCCTACCTTATAGGTGGATGCGCCTATCAACGAACTGTCATGCACCAAAGGGGTTGGAGGCAGTGTCCGAACTACGCAATGTGGAGTGGTGCTGCTAGCTTCGTCGGGGTATGTATAACGTCTGCGTTCTCTTGCCTCCCCTTTTTGCGTAACCACCAAGGCGTGAGATTTCAAAGTGCTGGTGGCCGGGGTTCATCACTCTCACTTCCTACTTCCCGGCTTGATTGATTTCTCCTCCATTTCGATTTAATTTTGCGGACTATTTTCGGTTTTCTTTTGATATATACCCTTCTCATACATACCTCATGCATATACCACTATATTGTGGACATTCAGGCATATTAGCGGATAAAATATGTTTTGCCACTTGCATGTTGTTTTCTTTTCTTCCTCCTACCTTGGTGACCTGGTTATCCCCCAACCTTGCGGCCTGCAGAGCAAGCACCTGGAACAAGCCTCCAATGCTGGCTCATTGGATAACTTTGCCACCTGCTACTGGTACGGCTCTCTCGATCGTCTTAATACCTGCCGCATTTCCGCCCACTAATGGCAACCCTGTCTTACCCGCTTCTTTCCTATCTCCTTTTCTTTTACCACTTACTCTCCTTTCACATTACGTATTTGTTCTTTTTCCCTTGCTTTTTCCCTCTCTTCGGCGTCGCTTTGGCCCGAGAGAGAGAAAACAAAAATAAGCCTTTTTTTAGTGCTCCACACTCTAAACCTTAACTGCGAAACTGAAAAAGCAGACTCCACCAAACCTTATTAACACTCCAATTATTTATTTACTTGTTGAAAGCAAAGACAGTTACTCATGTTTTTCCCACTATGAAATAGGATATGTTTATAATTCTCTGGTCATCGGTTTCGAACTGTTTCCGTTTCAACAAGCCTCGGTCGGCTTATTCGCAGCTTTCTAACGGGCCATCTAACGGCGGTGCAGGAGGCGTTAGGAACGGGTTAGTAGGTGTCATAGGTGGTCGTGGGAGAAATGCTGCTGGCAGCAATCGCAGACAGGGTCAGCGGGATATCGATGCGGAGAACCGGTTGATCGATCAGCTAGATGAGGAATGGGATGACTGAGTGGGATATCTCTGTTTTCTTCTTCTTTTTCTCAGGTTGCTTTTTATTTCCTGTTCGTTTGCTTTTCTTTTCTCGCTGTGCTTTGCCCCGTACTATGTAAGGCTGATTTGAACGAAAGAAAGAGACGCTAGGATTCGATGCCTTGTATGTTTTTATCATACTGTTTATGAACATAATGAGCGACCTGTCTTTTAAGGCCTGGGCCGTGGTTCAAAGCGCGCCAAGTAACGAAAAGAAAAGAGGGGAGAAATAGAAGAAAAGAAAAATGTACATGAGGAACAGGACAAAAAGGAAAGCGGGTATAATAGAATAATAGAAAAATAATTATGTTCAACTCCTAACCCGTTTAAAACAATATTCCTGTGCCAGATCCTTCCGCCCTGGAATGTATCAGACCCCCGCCTCATCCGATATGTAAAAGAAAGACAGGAAAGACATCATAAGAGGCCATTCTTAGATCAGGATATAGAGATAATTTTTGATAAGCCGAAAACCTGCGTTCAAAGTATGCCAACGTCCAAACTTTGACATAAGACAATACGTCAGGGTGAAGAGGTAATAGTGTATGTAGCAGTAGTATCAACAGGGTATGAGAAGGTAAATAATGAAAACAAAAATTGCTGTTCAAGATGGGCGTATAAGCCTATTGGAACACGATATATACAGAAAGGGAATGATTGAAGTTATTAATCAACCAACTCTCTCCCGAATGGATTCTGGAATGCTACCGGGCATGTTCTCCCATGCCTAAGCCCATACCGACGGGATGCATCATTGCTGGACCTCCGTAATAGCCGCCTTCACTCATTGTCATACCGGATGATACGACCGGGTTTTGAGGGGAGTGAGAAGGACCTGCTGGCATGCTTGCGGGGGCACCTGGCTGTGAAACGTTACCGTCTAGACCAGTCGGGTCTAAATTGAAAGGTAGGAACCATGCGCTGGACTGTATGAGTTCGCCGTTCCAGTTCATAGGAGGCTGCATATCGTAGGATTGGTAACTGTTGTTGTTCCAGAAGGAGCTGTTCATATTTGGGTTGGGACCGTGACCTGCTTGCGGCTGGGGTGGTACTGGATGATGTGGTTGGATGTGAGGGTTGTTGGAAGATGGTATCGGGATAGGATGTTGAGGTATAGGTTCGACGCCGGTATAGGCATCATATACTAGCTGTCGATCTAGTTGTGGGAGTGGATCGGGATGAGGATGAAACTTATATTCGGAGGCGCTGAAGGCGGGATCCGCGTGGTACATATTCGGGTTGTTGTTGTAGTGGGTGTATTCGTTACTAACGTGATTTGGTAGAGGCCCTGGTTGTGGGGGAATTTGAGAGTTGACGGGGTTCGAGACTGGTTGTTGCATTGGCTGTGACCGCGGTGTCTGTTGCTGTTGTCGTTCGGGAGATGACATATTGGGGACAACACGAGATTGCGTTGAGGAGTTGGAAGACTGAGATTTGGCATTACCTCTGGAACCGAGATGGCGCCTTGCCTTGTCGGACGGTGTTGTTGCATCTGCGCGTTTAACCTCCTTCCTGGATCCTGCCGATGGCGAGACCGGAGATAAGCTGGTGAAGAACTCCTCAACGCTCTGGAGGTCAGACTGGTGCGCCATCACTGCGTCGCTGCCGCTCTCATTTTTTATTTCTATATCGGGGTCTTCCCAGCGCAGCTTTGATACCCCATGGGGGTACTTGTCGAACCAATCACCGTATTGGAATATCGGCACATCCTGGTTGCTACCACCCTTGCTGGTTTCGGGAACTATCCGACCGCGAAGTGAGGCTTCGGCAAAGTGCCTGTACCTTTCCTTTGAGCTTTCAACCATGTAGTGGAACATACCCCAGTAGCGCTTCATTTTGTTTAGATATTTATAGGTATGTCGGAAGTTCTCCTTGGAGGCCGCTTCTAGCTGTGGACTCTTTGAAAATATACCCCAGATGTGAACCGTGCTCGCTGCGTAGGCGCAATAACCAGCAAATGGAACGGTTAGCATGTATCCAGATGCCTGATCGATCAGCATGGAAATGTGGTTCGCAGCCTCGACTGCTGCTCTGCCTGCTTCGCTCAGGAAAGGCTTGGGGATATCTCTCGGTGGCCGCCCTAGAGGCGAGAGCGGGATGGCAAACCGATTGAGGAACAAGGTGTTTTGGTGGATGACGATGTGGAGGAAGATGAACTGGTTTGCAATCTTTTCGACAGCGTAGTTCTGTAGGTTCTCCCAGTTGAAAACGAGACACTCTGGCAGAGAGGAAGAGAAGTCCTTGAGCTGCCTTTTCAGCAGGTTGTATCCGGACTCTGGCTCCCATAGTCTGCAGGGATCCTTAGCCTTGCCGCCCAGGTTGAGGTAGTCAACAATCTTCCCCCAGAGCATGATGGCTCGTATTATATATGCGGATATACCCATGTTATTTTTTGGGTTAGACAGTTGTCCTACCCCCTCTGGCACAGGGTTGGGTACTGAGCCGTCCAGGTCCTCCGTTGGGCCAGGGATCTCACGCCAAAAATGCGACTCTTTGATAGGTAGCTGGATCTGTAGGAACTTCTCGTTGCCGATGGGAGGTCTCTGGCTGCCGGAAGAGTTATAACGATCCATCAGAATACAGGCCCACATGGTCCTTCGACGGATCTCCCTATCCGTACAGCTCAACTCTGAGGCACTACCACCTTGGCCGAGGGGATCGCGGTCGAGTTCCTTGTGGAGTTGCAAGGCATAGGCCATGCGCAGAGCCATTCCGCCAAAGGACCAACTCCGCCCGCCATGGCAGGCGCCGAACTCGTGGAGGCCGAGGATGAGGAAGACGGTGAGGATGGTGATGTTGGGTTGATCGTGTCTGGCGAGTGCAATGTCAGCGGCAGCGTCTGCCCAAGACTCGCCTCGCAGGAAGGCCGGTTCGGTGTTGACGTCTGGGTGGGTAGAGAAGCGGGCGGCGACGGCACAGATGGCCAAGGTGAGGACAGGGGGGACGGCTTCGGTTTTTAGTTTGCGCATGAAGCTTGGTTTGTGTAGGAGGAGGTACGACTGGCCGTAGACACAGTCGAAAAAGACCTCTGCCAGGTGTTCCTGGAGCTCCATGGAAGGGAGGAACTCAGCTCCCTGGGAGAGTAACTTGTGTTCAGTGTTGATATGAGGCAGTAGTGAGGGAGGCAGATTCACGCTCATCTCCTGGCCTTTTCCAGGAGCAGCGGGAGGAGCGGTAACAGTAGGAACCGGCTGTATTGTCGGCATGAGCGGGCGAGTCCACTCGCTGAGCTCAGCGCTAAAGGCCTCCGTGGCTGTCCGTTTCTTCAGAGCAGCGCGAGCGGGCCGTGAAGCATATCCTGGCGGGTGTGGTTTCACAGTAGCACGGCCGATACCTACCATATCACGCGGTTCGTCCTTGGGGATGGCCTTCATCACTCTCTCCTCCATCCGCTTGAGACGCTTGTCCAGCATGGCCATGTAGTCTGTCCGCGGGGCAGCCTTTCTGGTGGTCACCTTATAGACACACGGTATCCTCGATCGATAGCAGTGCTTGCACGCCGGCTTCTCGCCTGAACAGCGAATCTTCTTCCTCCTGCAGACGATACAGGCGAGTGGCAGCCTCTTCCTCTCCTTGCCCGCCTTGGTCTTGAGCTCCGTCCACGGCCGCATACTATCCTGTTCAGCCACATCTCCAGTCTGTTGCTGTTGCTGCTGCTGCTGCTGCTGCTGCTGCTGCTGTTGTTGTTGTTGTTGTGGTTGATTTTGGTTCTGCTGCTGCTGCTGCTGCACAGCACTACCTCCGCCGGCAGAAACCTCCACTCCGTCCATCACGTAGGCACCGGAATTGTCGTATAGCGTGCGGTAGGCATCCTGCTGATGCTGTTCCTCCTCTGCGCCAATCCCGGTGCTGCTGTCTCCGGCGAACTCGTTCCGACTGTTGCTGTAGCTGGTATCATTCGTGGTATCGCTGATGTTTGCCTGGAAGCCGGAGCCCATCGACGCAGGCTCGTCACCGTCGTCCCGCTGCATATAGGTGAGATCGAGCCCCGAGACCATCATGCTGCGTATCTCTCAAGGGCGCGCAAGCATTCTCACGCTATAGTAGTTGCTGGTAGTTATTATTATGGGGAGGGCAAGTTATTGCGTAGAGGCGTTTTTGACTTGTGTTCTACTTTAGCGCATCCAGACACGAAGACTCAAGGAACGCCATCCTCTTCCTCTTCCTCTTCTGCTTCTTCTTCTTCTCTTTGTATTTCTCTTTTTGTTTCTCTTCTCTTTTCTTCTTCGACTTGCTTTCGTCGTCTTCTTCCTCAACTCATGAAGGCGAAAAACGAAAGACAAGCAGACGAAGAAGAAGAGGAACCTTTTTGACTAAGGCGGCGCTATTTGGCTTGGCTTTCGTCTTTTCTTTTCTTCTTCTCCAGAAGCGCTTCTTGAGGGTGAGTCGTTACTTTTTTTCTTCTTTCTGATGCTAACAATATAACTAACAAATATACGTTTATACTTAACACCGAATGTAGTCAGCTAAGACTAAGGAAGTCCTCGTTTCTTTTCCCTGTTACGGTCACCAAGTCCGAGGATGGCGTCGACACGCGGGAAACGTGGCTGGCATCCAGCGGATGGGAAAAAAAGGCGAGCTACCCTTCTTCTTTTCTTTTTGGAGAGAGGGGGGGAAGACCAAGGGCTGTCTAAAGTCCATGTCCTTGGGAAGAGTGGAAATATAACACTCAACGGGGGGCGTTGCTTTTTCTTTTTTCTTTTCCTTTCTTCTTCCTCCCTCTCGACGATCCAGCAAGAGGACAGGCGAGCCAGCAGGCTTTCTTCCCCCGGAAGCCTTGGCTGCATGTGATTGCAGAACTGTAAAGTTGCAAGGCAAGGGAAGATAATAAGGATTATGTGCGAGCAGGGATGCGGGTGCAGGGCGTTACGAGCCACCGTTACAGGAGATACTGGCGAGGAAGATACCAAGATAAGAGGAGATGCGAGAGGTCGAGAGGACAAGAGGACGAGGGTATAGCTACCCCTTCGAGAGAGTCCACCAGAGAACAAGCTTCTTCTGCATCCAGAGTTACCCAGCGAAGGGCTTGTGTGAGTCGACTAAAAGAGAGTTGCTGGCCTGGAGTTACTCCGTGGGTTGAATCATAATATATATACAGTTAGACAAGCCCATATCTTGATACACGAACTAGCCCGAAACACTAGAATTTAAGCCTGTCTCGGGCCGTATTCTATTCACAATCATCATACACACCAGATATTATCATAACTTTCTTTTTCCTTTTTAGATATGGGGACTGCCTGCTAGTTCCGCCGGGGCTGGTTGTGAACCAGGCATCTCGCTGGCTGGCAGAGAACCCTGCAGCTCCTTGTGCTGTTCTTGTCCCTCCATCTCGAAGATGGGCCGTTTGTGAGCCTCGGGAGAGTTGCTGGCTGGCATCTCTGCCACCGTTGCTTCTTCGGACGTTGCTTTTGCTGTTACCGTTGTTTCTTCTGCTGCTGCTGATAGGAGGTAGGATTCGATCTCTCTTCTTCTGCGGCGGCGACGGTAGAGATAGAGGAACCCCATCAACCCCAGAGCGATGGCCGCCAGACCTAGCCCAATCCCGATGCCTACCCTCCCGCCTGGAGACAGTCCGCTGGGGGGTTCTTCCGGCTCGAGTGGTTCTGTAGATGAAGAACCCAGCGTTCTCGGTGCTGTCGACAAGGCCTGGACGTAGAACTCGTCTGACGAGATGGCCCTGCTGTCGTCGTAACAGTCTCTCTCGCTGCAGCTCTTGATGTCAAACCTGAACGTCGACATCTCGCTCAGGACGGGCTTGGGGACCACGATGGTCACTCTGGTCTCTTCATAGTGGTTTGAGACGTTCACAGCTAGAAGATGTCACTACAACACATACACACAATAGATGATATTATTCACTTACGGGCGAGAAGCTCCCTATACGACTCATCGACAGACACCAGCCACAGAGACTGATTATATCGTCGTCTCACCAGGCAGCGGTCGATGTACTCTTGCTCCCAACCGCCAAACCGCAGCCTCACGCTGCTGTCGTTTCTGTAGGTCGTTGGCTCTTCTTCTTCATCTCTTCGCAGCCTCCAGCGTGTCCGGCAGTCCTCGATCGATCCCATCTTAATTTATCTCTTCAACCCCTCTATAGTTATTCGTAGAAAAGCACCCCCAGTGCAGCGATACATCTCGAAAGGAGAGAAAAGGAGACGCTCTAACTGTTGGCATATATCCCTTGTAACTTGTTTATATACAAACTATTATCCTGACCTTGCAGGGAGGTTTTCTCTTCAGCAAATCCTACGTCTTGCTGAGATGTTGGGCGTCCGAAGCTGCTTTTCCTTCAGGGGCGCTTCAGGGATTCTTTTTTCTTGGTCAACCAAGCAAATTTTCACGTATCAAACAACGATATAAAACACATTCAATGTCAAAAACCAAAACAAAACAGATCCATGGAACTGTGCAGTGCATAAAAATATAAAAAGGAGACCATGATGGCGATGCCGTACTTCAGACGCAGGCCCTTCGTGGTCTTGCTCGCGCTGTTCGTCGCCTTCCTGGTCTTCAAGAGCTATCATTCTTCCCACCGCCAGCCACCAACGACCTTCAGACAGCCTGAGGGACCATTCTCCTGGGCTCATGTACCCCAGCGATATGCAGTTCGCTCCATGATCCAGATGCCTCGTGGCAACCCTAGCAGCATTCCGCTGATTCAGCACCGTTTCTCGGGCAAGGAGAGCGAGGATGCGCGCCGGGTGCGGCTCATGCGGCTTGAGGCTGTCAAGGGGAACTTCTCGCACGCCTGGAACGGCTACAAGGCACATGCCTGGATGGCCGATGAGGTTGCCCCGTTGTCTGGCAAGGCTTTGAACCCGTTTGGTGGATGGGCGGCCTCCTTGGTTGACGGGCTCGGTCAGTCCTCCTCTTCGTACATATATCTACATTTGATTATATACATTTACCCATTCTTGTACTGACGAGTATAGATACGTTGTGGATAATGGGTCTGCACGATGAATTTACTGAAGCTGTCAAGGCGATTGATGACATTGACTTTAGCAATTGTACTCTGGAGGAAGTTAATGTCTTTGAAACTACCATCCGCTACCTCGGGGGCCTCCTCGGAGCTTACGATGTAAGCGGGCAAAAGTATCCTTCTCTGCTGAAGAAGGCGGTCGAAATAGGCCAGATGCTCTATGTCGCCTTTGACACCCCCAATCGAATGCCCATTGCCCACTGGGACTTCAAGAAGGCTGCTAGTGGCGCCAGACCCCGCGCCAGTGACCAGATGCTGGTCGCTGAGATCGGGTCGCTCACCCTGGAATTCACTCGTCTTACCCAGCTCACAGGGGATCCACAGTACTTCGATGCGGTGCAGAGGATAATGAATGCCTTTGACAAGCAGCAGAGCAAGACTAAGATTCCCGGGATATGGCCGTTTATGATCGATGCACAGGCTATGAATTTCCACGAATCTACCAGATTTACTATCGGAGGCATGGCAGATTCCTTGTATGAATATCTTCCAAAGGTGAGAGAAGATCTATCAACATTTTCTTTCTGTCCTATTTTCTTCTTTGCATGTGCTAACAATAGTAGCAATATATTTTGCTCGGTGGAGCTTCTCGGCAATATGAGAAGCTCTACAAGGGTGCGTTTGCCGCCATGGATCGTAATATCTTCTTCCGCCCCATGACCAAGGACGGTGAAGATATTCTGTTCCCCGGTGACGTTACGGCAAGCAAGAGGATACCTCTGTCCGAACTTCACCCGGAACCCACAGCTCAGCACCTTAGTTGCTTTGCAGGCGGGATGGTCGCTCTAGCGGCCAAAGCTTTTGAAAATAGCGAAGATATGGAGACGGCTAGGAAACTTGTCGAAGGCTGTCTATGGGGGTACGAAAAGAGTAGTATGGGCATCATGCCTGAGATTATGGTTACCGTCCGATGTGAGGATCGAAACGACTGCCCTTGGGATGAGGGGATCTGGAAAAAGGCAGTCGATGATACCCTCTACAACGCCAACGATGCCTCCATCGATGACTATATCAAGGAACAAGGTTTGACCCCTGGTTTTGTCAGGATTCCCGATAAGCGGTATATCCTCAGGTACGCCCTATGATTCCACAACTTACTATCGCATTCACCGGACTAAAAATAACTGACCCTCGCCATAGGCCTGAGGCCATTGAATCCATATTCATTCTCTACCGTCTAACAGGAGACTCCTCCCTACTCGACAGAGCATGGAAGATGTTCGACACCATTATTAAATATACAGTCACTGATATTGCCCACGCGGCTCTTGACGACTGTACAGCCTCTCAACCCATCAAGTCTGACCGCATGGAGTCGTTTTGGTTTGCTGAAACGCTCAAATACTTCTATCTCATCTTCTCGGAACCAGAGGTTGTCAGCCTCGATGAGTACGTGCTCAATACGGAGGCCCATCCGTTTCGATACCGCTAATATTTAAGCTCTAACCCGACACCTCAATAAAAAAAATCACGATCGCTAGTCTTCCGGGCCGACTTGGAAGCAAGTTAGCGGAAGATCCCCTGGCTGGCTGGCTGGCTAGAGATGGACTATATACTATATGTATACCTTCGTAGGTTCCAGCCCGCCCACTCCAGCTCGGTCTTCAATACGTCAAAGCCACGAGTTTCACCATGACATGGTTTTTCTGGAGCTTTTCATGAGAATAAGGCTCGCCCCTGATTCAGCGACCTGGTTATACTTGCATAGTATATAGCAGACAGGCATGGTCGAAGATCCTCATTCAACAGCCAGCCAAATGAGGTAACCCGAAATACAAGACGAACCGTTGTTCTAGCTAGCCTACTAAGCACGTCTTTTCCAATACAATGGATCCTCTGGAGCTGAGCTAAGGATGTTTTAGTCCAGGGGGAATAGGCTTTCCCTGACAGCTATGGTAGCGAGCTAGGGGGAAACGGAATATTGCGCTGAAATCGGTGTGGAGAGCCCAACGACTACATGGTCAAAACGAGAAGCCGGTGCTCCTAGTCCTGCTCCCTCGGGTAGGGAACCACGATGTTGTCGAGTTCCCACGCCATGTTACATGTATACATAGTAGCAAGCCTGGCCGGCTGCTTGCTCTCTCTTATTCTTTCACCCGATACCCCAAACTAGCCAAGCGAAATAAACCCACTGTATATACATATTTTCCTGGCATTGTGTTTAGATAAAATTGCGATTTACATTGTTGATTCAGGGTTGGCGCCTGCAAACCAATATAAAAGCATATACCTTAATTCACCCAGTCCAAGAAAAGACCCCTTTATACTTATATTTCAGCTGTTGTAGTGGGGGAAATAACGACTGAATGCAGGAGTCCATGGCCTTGTTGATGATCTTCCATTCTATCAGGGGGACGTCAGGAAACTGTTACGGAGAAAGTCCGATCAATATTGAAGAAAATTTTCTTACTGAGCATAATAGCTTGCGCAAGCCATGGCCCGAAATAACAACTTAAGCTCACGATAGTCAGCAAGTTCTTTCTTGTCCCTTGTCCGTTTTCAGGGTCGCCCTGAAGCCACCAAAGTCTCACTATATAAAAGCGAGCGTAGGGCTGAGTTACTCTCCCAAAAAGTCTATGTTATCAAGAGTTAACTATGTGTTTTCCAAACGCCACCACCGTCATTCTATAACTTTTAGTGCTGGTCTTTTGGTCTGGTGGATGACTTGTTATATGAGATTTGGATCGTGGCAATTTTTGAGGACCAGTTCACTGGATGATGTTGATAGTGTACTCCGTACAGCACCCCTATCAGTTCGATTCTTGTCTAACCTCCATTCCGCATATGTAAGTAGCAAATACCCCATAGCTGGAGTGGGTAGGGACATAAACGATCGTCTTGGCCAGAGCAGAGAGCAGGATCGAGGCCCATCCATCCACATGTCTGTCCATGGTGGGAGGAACCGGGATGGGCCCTCGTGAAGCGAGCTATTGGACCCTGTCAACTCCAGCTTCATGAGGCGAAAAAGAAGTGTCTTCTGGAGGCAGATCTTATGATGAATCGACTGTTTCACGCTTGTCAGGGGAGCCCACGAGAAGCGTTGATCGACAGGAAAGAAGAGCCCGAGGCATCGATATATTCTCCGTCGAGGCTCAGGAGCGTGTGATTAGATCATCGTCCATTTACGAGGATGAAGTATAGATATGGAGCATTAGCTATTACGGAACATATACATTACGTTTGAACCTGCCCTTAATTATGAAAATCTACTTCCCGGGCTATCACTAATCAATAAACTATAGAGACACAAGTCACGCGGAAAGTACTAAAAAGAAATGGGACATCAAGAAGGGAAAGGAGGAACTCTTGAAGATATTAAAAAAAGTAGACTTTCATGCCAGATCTGGTGCAGGCAATGGTGCCTGAAGCGGTAACTTCCGTGAGGAGCTACCTACGAAGATGGTTTTCGGGTGATCAGTCATGACCCAGTCTTGAGTTGCTGGGTCCCAATTGGAGACATCTCGTCGGGTGAGCATGGTTCTCCACCGGAATCGCTGCCCTGGAGCTAATCGGATGCGATCGAACCCACGGAGAACAATCTTTGCATTTCGGTCGCCGCCAAGGGAGACATACTATTTATGTTAGCTGTGATGACACCATCAAGGATCAGGCTATGTAAGTTGAGGAAGAGTTACTTACCAGTTGTGGGACCTCTTCGCCAACTCTGTCTCCATTATTGGTGATGATGGCGGAGACCTCGTACAAGTCTTCGAATAAGCCGGGGTTTCCACCAGGAGCACCGCTGGCGGGGAGCACAGGCTGTGCATCGCCATTGTTTGCATTCGGAGGCACATAGTCCTCGGTTGGCATTCCATAGTGACTATCTCCAGATGCCTCCTTAGGGTTGGTTGAGGTTAGCCACGAGTAGATGTACTTCGATACACTCTTAAAACCCGTAGGGTACAGGTAGTCCGCATAGTTGGTCGAAGAGTGGCCTAGTCTTGGTGCTGGTTTGGTTAAGCCAGTGGCAGGCTTATACTTGTTGGCACGCATCGCCCTGACTCTCAAGCTCGAGTAGGAGAAGGTAGTATAACTCAAACCAAACCCGAACTCATAGACAGGAGTTATGTCCTCTTTATCAAAATGTCTGTACTCCATGAAGATACCCTCTGAGAAAACCTCCTGTGGTGCATTCTTTCCATTGTTTGCTTCCTTCAAGATGTGCGTACCATAGTCTTCGGCAGTCCTGCCCCAGGTAAATGGCGATTTACCGCCAGGGTTCTCTTTGCCATAAAGGATATCAACCAGGGCATTTCCGCTTTCCTGTCCGGGAAGGCCTGCCCATAGAATAGCGGTAATGTTCGGGTTATCGTGCCATTCACCAGCCAGAACAGGGCCAACACTATGAATAACAAGGACAGTGTTGTTGCAGACAGAAGTGACCTGTCTGACCATCTCGTCGCCTCCTTTCCATGCCGTCAGGTTCTTTCGGTCACCTTCATTCCCATCGACTGAAATATACCCTTCACCAGCCGCAGAGTTAACAAATACCAAGGCGACGTTAGCCTGGCCTGCAACTGACTTTATGTTGTTGAAGTCGCCATTTTGAAGAACAGCCTGAACGTTTCCAACCCCTTTGGATACAATCTCATGTTGAATAGCCTCCTCCGGAGTCACAAGGTAGGGGAAGTTTGTCGTTCCGCTACCCCATCCCATAGCAAGGGTTCCATTGTCACAACCGCGATCGGGGCAACTGTTTGGTCCGTTCAAGTTTGGACCAGCGTCCTCTCCAATGATAGCTGTGAACTGTTCGGTTCCAGTGAGAGGGAGGACACCATTATTTTTCAGGAGAACGGTGCTATCCGTAGCAACACGACGGGCAATCTGAGCATGATGGCCGCGTACATTCAACCTTTGATTGACAATACCGAACCCTTCCTTCACGAGTGCATGCTGGTAGCCCTCCACGTCTGAAGTCCACGAATTGAAGTTAATAGGAACTTCATAGCGGTCACGACCAACCTTATAGTAGGCAGCCATGATACGGACAGCCATGTCGTCCACTCTCCATTCAGGGATAGTTCCATTGGCAACAGCAATGGTGAGGTTAGCACCCCAGTAGGAGACACCGGTGCCAAACAGAGTATCACCAGGCATAGACATATCCAACCCAGCAAAGGCAGCGCCAACACCGCTATGTTGGGCTTGCCAGTCAGACATAATGAAGCCGCGGAATCCGAGTTCACCTTTGAGTAGCTTGTTCTGCGTGTAACTGTTTGCACATCCATAACTGTTATTGATTTGGTTGTATGAGCACATAATTGCGCCCACTCCAGCTCTGACAGCATCTGCAAACGGCCTGAGATATAGTCAGCAACTATACCTGAAAAGCTCATCGTCAAAATCAAGCCTTACCAAAGGTATATCTCGTGCATTGTCACGTCATCGACGTTAGAGCTCATGCTCTCAGCGATATCAAATCCATATCCCTGAGCTTCGGCAGCAATGCGGAAGCGTTCCTGTTCGTTGGCAATAAAGTGTTTTGCGCATGCAACCACACCTGCTTTCTGCATACCCTTGATGGTCCCTGAGACAAGTTCGCCGGCCAGAACAGGGTCAGGCCCAAGGCCTTCCCAATTGCGCCCTCCATCTGGTGACCTTCCTAGAGGGCCAATTGCAGGGCCCAGTATCACATCCGCACCTTTATCGCGAAACTCCTCGCCCATCGCCCTTCCGCGAAGGTAGGCTAACTCCTTGCTCCATGTTGCAGCAACGTTTATTCCGGCAGGGAATGCAGTAACGTAGTCCCCTATTCAAAGTAATTAGCGGCAAGCAGTCGGGAAAACAATATAAAGGCGTGGAGAGAGCTTCTTCATACCAAATCGAATACCGAGAGGGCCATCTTGCATACACAAGGAGCGGAAACCAAGACGAGGAATTGCACCAACTTGGCCAACGCAGGACTCTTGCATCCATCTGCCGAACAGAATTAGCTCTTGATGACTTGTAAGTTGATGTTTTCGACCAAACCGTACCCAACCCCGGTTGTCAAGTTGACCTTCTCTGCCAATGTGAGCTGGGAGACAAAGGCAACAGCTTTGTTATACGCTTCTTCCCACTCTCCTTCTCCGTTGGTCCATGGTGACGGATAGTAGGGTGGCGAAGTCCAGTGTTCCTATTCCCCGTACACATGCATCTCAAGTCAGCTTTACCGTCCTTTCTTCTCCTCTGCCGTGTGTCTTTTATCTTGTTCACCACTCTCGTACCTCCGCAGTAGCTAAGCTCGAGACGGCGAGGGCCACTAACGGGCACCACCGAAACAACATCGTGAGCTGCAAGCAATTAAGAGGTTCAGTTCAACCTGTCACTGTCAACCTTGCAGGAAGAAAAAAAAGCAGAACAGCGCTGTCACTTCGACGAAGTGCAGAAAAAAAAAAACGAATCCCATGAGTGACATCAATATTTATTTATCCAGCTTCCCGCCAAATAACAAATAAACCAACGACGCCACGGGTGGGGAAGAGCGACGCCAACATGCCACAGTTCCCAGCAACTACTTACTATGTAGTTATTGACAAGCCTCCCCCTTGCTGCCCGGCCGACAGGTACATCATCCTTCTCTGCGAGCGCCGCTGGAGAAGAAGTTACTCTGCTGCAAGCCCCAATCTCCGCTGATCTGCGCTGCTCCACCTTGGCGATGTATGATTTTTAACAAGAGCTTGCTTTCCCAGCTTGCTTCCAGACAGGCCCAGCCCATTTCGATGCAGTCCTACTCCGTATATTCGCTGGCATTGCAGGATCACAGGGCGTGTTATCCTAGTTTAACGAAGCACACAGATGGCATGGCACGTAAGTCAGCTGGCCATCACCTGCTTCAGGTATTGATGGATATCTCATGGCGAGCTACCCTGGAGGAATGTTTCTGCCTGCATCCTTGACCCCCTGGTCCAGTTAGCAACATCACGGTCACGGGACTGCTCCAGATCTAAGAGGATGAGCAGGTTTAGCAGCTATCAGGATGGAGATTGACTGTTTGACAGGGCGTCAGACTTCCCTGGCAGTGTGTTTGCGTAGCCGAGGTGTTGGCATGGTGTTTTCATCCGAATTTCTCGTCTGGTGGTCCGGGAAAACACTCAAATATCACTCTACACAGCTTTATGTACTATGTATACTAAGCTCATTCGCTCGAGGGTGACCCCGTATCCAGCGCACAGATGGGCTTTTCTTTCTTCCTATCCCGACCCCGCAAGTCAGACAGGTTCGGTCGCCCTGCAACGGTAGCATCCTGGTGTGGTATTGCCGTCTTCTTGTATATGCATTTCGCTCGAGCTTCAGCCCCGGGGTTTGTGAAATTGGATGCAATTTCGGCATCTTATACTTACTTACCCCACCGCTCAAGCGAAATCAACTGCAACTGTCCTGCATATGTAGTTGGTCATGCGCTGTGACGACAAATTTGATATATATATATATATTTAATATATGCGATATTCCATCCTTTCATATATCCGTACACTGAATCTGTTTAGCAAATAAACCCAAAGAGTGCAATCTTACCCTTTCTAGCGGTGTATAAAGTCCGCATAACCAAGCTCGGACTCTTAACCACACAACTTTAAAACCACGCTCGTCCTTGTGCCTGGTACATACGAACATAGGAAGTGGAAAACAGAGCTTCCCGTCCGCTCAGCTGTACTTAAGCCACTTGCCGGTCGGTTAGTAGTTGGGTGGGTGACCACCAGCGAATCCCGACTTTCGTATGTCTTTTTTTGGTCTTTTTCCCCCTTCAAATTAGAAAAGCTACTTTGAAACGGAGGCATTTCTTCTAATTTACGTAGCTCAGGCGTCCTTCTTACTTTTTTTTTTAGATATACCAAGCCTCGAACCGTAACCAGAAGCCAAAATCGTTTAATACCGCCGTTTTATGGAGTATATCCGCCTAAACCATCTTTTAAGTACTCCGTACCTATTCAAGCATTTACGTACCATTAGCTTGGAGCTGGGCTGTGCTTGCTGCATACCTACAATAGCACATTAAACAATTACTTTCGATCACTACCTTATTACATATAACTATTTGTCATTTGAGGAAGTGTGTATAAATATATTGTTGTATTTCCTTCTTAAAAGCTCTCGGTACATGGTTCAGGATACAGGAACTTTATAGAAGAGACACCAGGGCACCCAAAGGAGACGTATTTGACTATAGAATTACAAGAAGCTTTAATAGCCCTTTATTACATAGTTAGTCTCCTTGGTTTGTCGTCCTAACATTGGGATATGCAGCGACATCACAACAACGCCTCAACTATGCTCCTAATTGGGCAGTATCTAAGAGAGGGGCTCCTTAGAATTAAAAGTGAGTCATCAAATTCTCGGTCAAAAGCGTTACAAGGCTGATGAACCTCGCCTTTTAATTTATAATAATCTTAAGAGAACTCTGGACCTTACTTATCCAACGCTCAAACCAGAAGATTTTAGGAAACATCAAAGGGTCATTAAATCCTGGGCTCACAGCAGAATCTGTATTCTGAATATTAGGCTTCGAAAATCTTTAGGGTATCTTATTCTACCCAAGCTGTGCGGGACCCACGATGTCCAAGATCATAAGAAGATTCATTTCTTATATTGGTAAAACTAAGTTGGAAGACTTTGTTGATCCAAAAGTGCAAAGTCAAGTTCAGAATTTTTGTGAAGATCGTGAAAAAAAGGTAGGCGAGCCCCTAACCAAGGAAGAGAGGTCTACTAATCTCTTACAAATAGGATTCTCGTTGCATTAAAGCGGAAATCAAAGGAACTCGTTTCCATAGATCACACGACGACCCAACCGATGAAAAAGAGGTTCTTACTATAAAATTTTTCAACGAGGACGACAAACGTGTTGGAACTGGACACCTGCACGAAGATGGAACGTACAAGTTTCGATACAAGCGCCCACCACCAGAAGATGCGGCCAACGGATATGAAAACCAGTGAAGGTGAATTCGCATTGAGATGGTTGGATCAAGACTAGATACTGCTTAAACTTCTATCTTCGGTATATCCACCTCCTGCACATAGAGAAGAGTTCCATCAAATGCTTGGTTGTCCCTCATATCGTTATATCCTAGGATCCCAGAGTTCTGTTTACTCTTTTCAGCCAGCCAGTCTTCCCTTCTCAATAATCATTCAATACTGTCCTAGGTTCAAATTAAATATCGCTAATATACGAAGGAACTGTATTGAAACCTATCTATAACTAAACCAATAGAAGTACAGCTCATCCATTTAAAGGATCCTAGGATAGTATTATACTCAAGTGGGCTGACACTTAAATGTGTAACGGCGCTCATAAACCTGATTGTGCATTCACTCATTTAGCCAGGGGTCCTGGAGAAGTTCTTTTGCCGTTTTTCGTTCTTCAGGGAGCCACTTGAGCATGGAGCGTATGAAATTGAGAAACATGGACTTTTCCCTTCCCTCTAAACGCGTCTCCAGCCCCTCCAAGGAAATTTCTGGTACTTTCTCGAACATCCCGCCCTTCCAATTCCCTGTAAGGTATGTCAGCACGAATTCGGATCTAGACACACAGCAGAACCTACCTTCCATGTCAAAGCACTGCTCAGCTGTCTCACTACGAAGTAAAAACTCTTTCGGAGGAGGACCCAGTAAAGCAAATATCTGAGCCATATGCTTGAAAGGATCATACTTCCTCTGTTCATCCAGAAGATTATTGAACAAATGCCTTCCCTCAAATAGGTCCCAAATCTAGTAACTGTAAGTATAACGGTTCTAGAGACCAACAAACAGCGCGTTGGGCTTACAAGAGCAGCAGTGTTCCAGATATCCACAGGCGGGCCCCATGGCATTTCAAAGGTCACCTCAGGTGCCCTATAAATATGAGGTTGAATAAACGGGCCTGTTTCTTGAACCTGCCCAATTCTCGCTTCTCCAAAATCACACAAAATTGGCCCTCCCCATTTACCATTTTTGGGTTTGCCAAAACGGCGGGATGTGTAGATAGCACGTAGTTCATCTATCACTTTTCTTGGTGTCGGGTTCTCACGTTCCGCTTTGTCAAACTCCTCAAGCATTGACTTGTCCGCAATATGTATCATCAGGTTGTCAGTTTTTAGATCTATAATGCATTGGTGATAAAGTATTAGTAATAAACATCAATATATGTCTCTAATCACATACCAGTGTGAATTACATTGGCTTCTGTGTGGAGGAAGTCAAGAATAAGTAGGAGACGTTTTAATATCTCTTTCAGAAAGGGTGCATCGAGTGGCTTAGGATTTAAGTTCATCATGTCAAGAATGCTTAGATGCATTGGTTGCTGGATCAGACATTGATGAGAGCCGTTAGGTCCTGCGATTTCAAATGAATCGTAGAGTTCACGGATATACCTTTGGCCAGGATGATGCGAATTTACCTCGCAAAGGTGTTCGTATATGGAAAGCTCTGCACGGCCTTTCTTTGGGTATTTTTGCAACTGCGTTGAGATTTTCAGCGCAGAATATGAATGTTCACTTCAAGTTGTTAGTTGATAGATTATTGCTGACGGGTATGTTTTACTTACACCAAGTCACGGCAGAGCCATACTGTCGAGTATGCACCATAACCCAATTTTCCCACGATCTGGTATCTTGAGTTAAACACATCACCAATATGAGCTGGATAATACTGCTCATGCTCGTAGAAAGGGAGTCTCTCTTCCTCGAGCGCTCTGTCGGAAGTAACAACGGGGTGGTTTCGATCGGAGAAATTTCTTGCGGAGGATGGTGGTCGAGTTTTGGGCTTCAACTGAGCCTTGCTAGCCCTCAGATGTCGACGAAAGAAACGTAAAACAGCAGCCTGCATCCTTAACGGTTAGTCCAGAGGGTCTGCGAAAGTACTCTGTCGGAAAAGCTGCCTTAGCTCTGGTAAGCGGATGGACTGGATGGATCCGTCCCTGTGCAGATGGATAATAGTTCCCCCGTACGTAGTTACGCCAAGGCGGGACCCTGCAAGGTAACGTGACTCACCACTAAATGCCCACCACCACTAAATGCCCGCCTAATCTCAACGCTCAACTCGTTCGATCAAGCTGTAAATATCGATATATCTCAATGCAACACAAAGTAAATAAATTATTAAATTAATATATAGTAGAGTCTAAATTATATAGAAAATAGTATAGTTAAGAAAATAAACGAGTATTAGGCTTAATATTTCGCCCCGCACGACTTATACTAGGTTAGAATATAAAAAAGGGTATATAAGGAATAGAATTAATAAAAGTAGCTTTCCGAGGTAATTTTACCTTATTTCTTAATCGGGAAGATAAAATAGGCCTTAAAGCGTTAATTTAGGCCTTTTCGGCCTTCTTAGCTAGTCGCTAGGCTTCCTATTTATCGGCCTTATACTATTATTTAATTGTAGCTTATTCGCGCCGAGTAGTAGCCTCTATCTTTACCTTCTCTCGGGCCTCTTTTTATAATTACTACTTTATAAGCCTTTAAGCCTTCTTCTCTATAGCTTCCTAAGCCTTAATATCTTTTTAAATCGTACGTTGAAGCTTTAATTCTTCTACTTAAGTATAGACTGGGGTCGGTACCGGGTCGGTCCGGGTTTTTGGCCTTCAAGTACCGACTCGACCGGGTCGGTACTAAATAATTTCTTACCTAGACTCGATCTTATCGGGTCGAGTTAGTCCCGGGTTAGAACTAGGTTTACTAAGATATAATATACTAGACTAAAAAACGACTAGTATCGATTAGTTATTTATATCCTTTATTATATTATTATCTCTATAATATTATATAAGCTATTAATCGTATTATTGTATTAGTATACTAAAGAAATATAAATAATTAATATATTAGATCTTATTCTCTTAAGTAACTAATTAAATTTATATAGAATAACTTAAAAGAGCTATACCGCCTAATATAAATATAAAAATATAAAAATATAATAAAGAAGTTAAGAGAAGCTACTACTTATCTACTAAGTAAAGGAGCTATCTAACGGACAACGTTTACTAGTAATATCTATCTCCCTTAAATATTAAAAATAAAATACAAAGTTATAAAAATATAATAAAAAAGACTTATTATATACTACCCTTAGATAATATTAAAGGAAGTATAAGGTACTCTATACCTTATAGTTAGGGGTTTTGCCCTTAGTATCTATAAAGAATAGTTAGTAAGACTACCTATAGAGTATTAAGATAGAATATTTACCTTATCGCGGCCGACTCTAACTACTAGCTCTATATTTTTTATCTTCGCCCTTTAGGGGCGTATCCCTAGGAACTACGGGCCGTTTCTTTCGCTTACTTGGTCCTACTTATTTAGCTTTCCCTTATTCCTCTTATTCCTCTTATTCCTCTTATTCCCCTACCTTACCTTATTTATTACGATATTGTCCTCGGATAATATCTTTTATAGTTAAGGTAGAATTCTATTTCTAAAGTAATCCAGCTTCTATATATTTATACTTCTAATAATATTACTTTAATATTGAGTTCTTTATATCTAGATTATATATACTATTCTAAGTAAGAAATAAGTTATTATCCTTCTAACTAAGCGTTAGATAAAGGATATTTTCTATAAACTTATTAATATTATTAATATTAAGTTTCGAGGTATTTAAGACTATCCCCCCTAGCTATATACTAATATTTAAAATAGCTTTTCTAGTAAAATTAAATATCTAATATCGGCAAAATATATAATTAGTAAATAAGTACTAGATATATACTTTATACTATTACCTAATTCTTACTAGACGAGCCTCTACTTATACTAGTATATTTAAGTTCCTTAGTATCTCGGCTATAATTATATAGTAATAGCTAGATAGTTATAGATTAAGGCTAAAACCCCCTACCTAGTAAGTTATAATAAGAATTCTTAGACTAGATTTAGTATTATTAAAAGAGTTTATCGTCGTATCCTATTATAACTAGGCTATACCTACACGTAATTAAGTACAATCCTATCCTTAATTAAGATAAAATATAAATAGAATCTAGTAAGTTACTAGATTTTATATATAGATTACTACTTACTTATTAGTAGTATTAATAAGCTTATATAAGAGAGGTAGTATATATCTTAATAAAGGTAAAGAATTTAAAAATTTAATAGCTCTATCTACCCGACTATATAGGATATAATACTAAGTATCGATAATAAGATAGATATTTCTTAAAAAACGGTCTAATCCTATATATAATCGTATAAGTAATTTACTTAAGCTACTTAATAGAGTATTTAATACTCTAGATCTATTATAAAAAATAGGAAAAGTTATAAAGAAGCTACTATATAATAGTAGCTTAATTTTTTAAGAATCTATACTACCCTCCTTAGAGTCCGGGATACTTATATGTATCCTAGAGTCTATAGTTTTCTAATATATATTATAATATTACTACTATTCTCTATACGTTATCTTTAATACTATAGTATTAATATACTTTCTAGAGATAGTTAACTTAATCGGCGCACTATTAATATAACTTATAGCTATTCTTTAGATTATATATAATACTAATAATATTAGTATCGTTATAACTATATCTAGAGTACTAATATATCTATTAATAGCTAATCGACGGATATAGAGAGGATTTAATAGTTCTAACTTCTTATATCGAGTTATAGTAGTAGTAAATCTATTTATATAATATATAATATTAATTACTATAATTACGAGAAAGGGTATTAAGGAGTCGATATTATCCGCGGATAATATTGGCTAAACTATTATTAAAAGAATACTTACTTATTTAGAGTTAGTCTCTATTTAAAGTTGTCTAAAAGTTTAAGTTTCTAGTTATTATTATAAAAAAGATAAGTATACCTATAAAAGTTATAAATCTTATTTAGTAGAGGTATAGTAGTAATAATCTAAAGGAAGTTAGGTTTAAGAAGCTTTATAGCTCGTAAAATTATAGACTCTAAGTATCTTATAATATATTCTTTATTAATAATAATACGATAAAATAGTCTAGCGAAGCGACTAGTATAAGTCTAAAGAAATATATTAAATTTTACTAATTCTTTCTAGAGATCTTTATCTTCTTCTTCGCCGCCTATAGTAGGGGTTTTTAGTTGTAGAGTACGAAATCGTTTAACTAAAGATTATAGATATAATTCGTCTATAATCGGTATCTAGTTTTTAGTAAGTATAGTTATAGCTTCTATACTCTTATTTTCTACTAGCGTAGTCTCGCGCTTAGTCTTCGATATTAAGGTATACCTTACTATTATTTAGTACGATATAATAAAGATTATATAACTCTATTACTCTTTACTACTATAAAGGGCAGATTAGTATAGTATAAATATAGTGGTTTTAAACTACTCTATTAATATATATATAGTTGTATATATTAGGTCGCTCGTATTCCAAAATAAACTACTAATAAAGAATATATATAGAGTATTTTTAAAATACTTCTAAATATCTAACTACTATTCTATCGTAGTTTATAGTGGAATATATAATAATATTACGTCTAAATAGGCGAACTCTTTATTATCTACCTAGAGGCCTCGCTATATAGTCTTTAAAATAGTTATTAGAACTTTAATTATTTTTCTAAGTCCTATATCGTCTATAAGTAGACCCGATATAATTACCGGCTATCCCTTTTAATAATATTTAAATACTTCTCGCTTATACTTTAATATAGTACTAATACTCGTTAATTAATAAGGTAATAATATTAATAAACTAGCTAGGCTAGGGAATAACTCTCGAGTTTTATAATTAATACCTAGTATTTCCGTAGCGTTATCTTAGTTAAGTATTTTTATATTAGTATACTTAAGAGAATTCTATAGTTTAAGAAATACTTCTTCCCTATTATTATTAAATTCCTAGTCTTCGAAATTAATATCCGTAAGAAGATTAAAGAGTATATTATTAGAATCTTTATAGCTTCTAGCGCTATTCTTAATCGTATTAATCTATATTCTATATTAGTACTACCTAGAAAAGAGAGAGAATATTATCCTCGGATAATATTACTACGTATCTTTTTTATACGAGTATTATTCGTATAAATATTCTTTAGTCTTTTACTTAATATAGTAGATTAATTTACTTCTCTTAAAATCGCTTTAATTTTAGTAGACTTTATATCTTTAGGTGGTTTTATCCCTACGTAAAAATTAGGCTACGTATCTTTTATAATATAGAAGTATTTTATAGTATACTTTCTAAAAGAAGCCTTCTCGATTATAGATAATTTAGGTAGACCTTTTACTACCTTAGAAAAGTCTTATATATTATTATCGTCGACTAGGGCGGATAATCCGGCTTCAATATTACTAAAAAAAGCTTCTATATTCGGCTAATTATATAACTTAGAGTTAGAAGGGGGCCCGGAAGGTAGATTATATTTAAAAAGAAGGCTTTTATTAAGTCTTATAATATTATCCTCGGACAATATTACGAGTATAATAGACTTAGTATCTATAAAGTAGTATATAGATTTCTTAGTATTTATTTAAAGTTTAGATATAGCTATTTTTATTAGCTTATAACCGTCTTTATTATTCTAAGACTATATCTATAAAAGAGCGTAAGTATAATAAAGATCTTTATTATTTAGAAGGGTAGGTATTGCCTCAAATTTATTAAATTATATAGAATACTTATTAATAATCTTTATAAGAATATTAACCGTAGTAATAATTCTATAAAGATTATCTATTTATTTTATATCGGGTCTAATACTAAATACCTACTAGACGAGTACTCTACTTAGTTCTATATTTTTATCGTAGATTATATTATAGGCTATAGTATTACCCTTAATAGACTAGATAAATTTAATAATATTCGGAAAAGGTAGA